ACATTGACATATATGTCAGAGTTCATATTTTCGTCGATAACTACTAATGGTCCAACTCCATACCAGCTAAAACAACCCCAAAACATCACTGATCCGCCACCAAACTTTAATGTAGGTTGAATGCAATTTTTAATATAGGCTTCACCAACCCTGCGCCATACTCTTGCATGACCAATCTGACTTAAAAAGTGCAAATCTAGATTCATCGGATCATACAATATTTTTCCATTCCTCTTGCCAATTACATTTTATTTTACACCAGTTTAATCTATCAATTTGGTGTTTTCGAGTTAATAAAGGTTTTTTTCTTGAAGCACAGTTTTTAAATTTTATTTCATATAAATATTTTCGAATATTATTAGGATGGTAATTAGTAGAAAGATCATTATTTAGCTGACTTGTAATTTTACCAAGAGAAGCAAATCTATATTTATAAATAATACTTTGTAAAAAACGTTTTTCTCGATTAGATAATGTTTTTGGTCGACCTAAACGTTTATTAGGATGTGGAGAACTCAGTTTTTTTATAACGATTAATAGTATCGTATACAGTTGAAGAGGGAATATTAAAATTAGAAGAAATTTTTAATCCATTAGTGCCAGTAAGGTAAGCACCAATTATTCGTTCTCGTTGTTTATTTGTTAATTCTTTTTTAGGCATTTTTGTGACAAGAAAAATTAGAAAAAAGGCTGGTATTTATTTGTAATACTTGTAATTGTATCTATATCTAAAAAGAGAACAATAACGGCTCTTAAAAATTTTTTACTTAATTGCGTAACAATCGTAGCGAATGATTTATTGTAGGGGTAGGTATCTCTTTCATTATTTTTTTCACTTGTATAAAAAGTATTATGGAATCTGAGCTTGCCTTACTTAGAGAAGAAAATGCCAGACTTATGGCCAAAATAACTGGACTTGAGGAAGCTGAGCTCGAGGTAAGAAATGCTGAACTTATAGAAAGAATCATGAAACTGGAAGAGAGGCAGTTGGAGAACGTAGTAATAAAAAACTTATTACATGCATCACAAGTATCGTGAAAAACATGATCATATTAATAAAACAATATTCGGGTATGGATATTTTTTCTGGCAATCAATATTTCGCATATGGGGTTTAGGGATGTACAGTCAGAACTCGATATAACGAACCTTTTAGTTTGATGATTTTGATTCATTATAATGAGGATTCGGAATAACAAGTTTTTCTTGATATATCGATTTAAATAATAAAAAATATAAAAGTTCATTATATCAAATTTTTGCAATAAATGCAATGTAGTTATTATTTGTTTATTATTTATTATTTGCATGTTGTATGCTATACTATTTCTTATTTGTAAAATTTGGGAACAAAAAAAATCTAATCGAAAATAATAAATTCATCTATATAATTGGATTGAAGATTCTGATTGTTTATTTTTTTTGAGACAAAGTTCTTGCTTTTGTCCCATAGACAATGTATTACTTTTATTTCAGAAGATATGATAAAAGATGATCAATAAAAGAAATAAAATCTTCTAATTTATATTTATATTAATTTATTTAACATTTGATATTTACTATATTAGTATAATTTCGATATATTAAAGTAAAATTTTATAATGATGATGATCGATCGTTAAACCAAGAAAAAAACCATTTTTTTATAACGATCATTAGTATAACGAGAAAAAAATCATTATCAGTTTATCACGAATAAATAATTATAGTTGGTTTACAACCAGAGTTCAGTATATGCAATATCGCGAAATTTATAATAAAATCGCTATATAGTGATAAATTTTATTATAAGTGGTTTTGGTTTAAGAATAAAGTTCGTTATAGGCCAAAATCAGTTTATCGCAGATCATTATATCGAGTTCTGACTGTATATGCTAATCATGAAGTCATTTTTATTGATTTGCAGGGGGATTATTGTCATGACAGAATGTAGTACGTAATTGCTGGTAAAAATCTGGAGAATGTTTTCTCCTATGAAATTTACAAGTGCTATAAAAACCCATCTTCAGCTTTAGCCAGCAAGATAGCTATTTTTTTCTGACCATGAAAGTGATAAGTGGGCAGGTATGGAGAATCAAGAGAGCTCAGTTAATACGAAGCGATTACTGCTAATGATATCAATATGGAGGATATCGTAATCACCTCTACTCAAAGCAGTAATATAGCTGAGAAAATGATTAGTATGAACAAATCTCAAATTACTACTCTAACGTTAAATTTACTCAGCACAAATAGTCTTATTCATTCTACTGGCATTCATATTCATGAGATGAAGCTATGTATTTTATATAAACAAAAGTTCATTTCACATCCAGATGAGCCAATCAAAGAATTTATTATGGCCACCTGTGGATGTCTCTATCACTAAAAGTGTCTTGAAGGGTTTCTCTTGAATGTAGCAAAAACAAGAGTCAAGCTATCATGTCCAAATTGGGATTGTAAAGGCAGAGAGATCAAACTCTAATAACTCAAGATCTCTTTAAGGAAATGGACAAACCTACAACCTTGACTGCAGAAGACACTGCCAGTATACTTAGAAAATACAATTCTAGAGAGTGAAAATGCTAATGAAATTTATATGAATTAACTTGAATTATTTAGCAAAGAGGAGCAAAGTTCATCTAAGACTACTGAGATCACTAAAAAAACTTCTGACCAGGCAATCAACCCTATTGAGATTGTTAGCACTACATCTGGCAATTTTGAAAATTTGGATAATTCAATTTTAAAGGACACTAACAGTCAAATTCAATGTCTTATATGTGAACAATGCTCTAAAAAAATCTCTCTAGAATTCACGATATCAACCATTTTTTACTCTGCAAACATGTTGTGTATTACGATTGCATCAAGAATTCTCATAAGATATGTTCTACCTGCCCTTTGTCTGAAACAATATCAGAGGTATCGACTCTAGTAAAATCAGATTTAAATAATGTACAGAAAAACATACTATAGAATCATCTACCAAAAAATCGTCTAGCAAGAAAGTGAAAAAGACTGATAGAAAGAAAGTATCAAGTATGCTAAAAAAACTTATCAAAGAATTATTAACTGATATGGTATCAGATATAGCTGGAGAGAACTTGAAAGAAGAAGCAAGTAAAAACAAAATCAGCAATTTTTTGTAATTATATGATAAGATTAATAGCGCTAAATCTAAAAATAAAGATGCATCTTAAGGTCTTGTTTACAGTTATTTTAATTTTAGAAAAGCTGTATTTAAACGATATAAAGAATTAAAACTCAAACATGGTAAGGATGGATCCTAAGCATTAGTCAAAAGTGAGATTAACAAAGCGATTCCTGAGGCAAAATGTTCTGATGAAGCTTTGTGAAAAAAGATGAAGAGATCCAAAAAGGTTTATAAACATTTTAATAGTATAGGTAAAGAAAAATAGCATAGATAAAATCCACTCCTTCAGGTTTCATCTTAAATCTAATTAAGGATGAAAAGGATTATGTAATGGCCAAAATCTTAAAATGAAAGGTTTGTTAATATACTGCACTATTTCTTCTGCGTAATTAAGTTAAGCCTGGACACTGTGTCCAGACTCTACCATTAGAAAAAATAGAATTTTATTTACATGTATTCTCAAACATATAATAAAGCATTTGCATATCCTGCTCATATCAGGGGTTTATTTTTTAAATGTGTATAACTGATTGCTAAATTTCATGAAAAATAATTTACTGAGCTCAGACATCATGTTCAGACTCTACTATCAGATAGTCATGTACAATAACTTACGAAATGCCTTAACGATCGACTATTTTGGAAGATAAATTTTACCGGATGCTGATCCAGCTTCTGCTCAATTTTGACGAGCTCGAACAAGCACATGCATTTTATTCATAATCATTTTCCCGAATTCTCATTATGCTTATCCAGCTAAAGAAAAAATCTAAAATCTGATTAGCCGATTATCTTGTGATTTCAGTGACTAGCTAGTATTGAAGAAGTGTCTGAGAACTGTCATAGAACTGACAGGGAGCTAGAATGATTCCTGTAATATGATATACGTCTAAAAATGGCACTGCAACTAGTTGCAACTATGTGATACTTATTTATCACAAGTTGAAACTAATTGCAACTCAATTTTTATTAATGTTGCAACTAGTTGTAACCCTATGATGCTTATTTGTCACCAGTTGCAACCAGTTGCAGCACCATCTTTATATACGTCATACTCCTCTGATTAATGAATCTGAGAATAATTTAGCCATTATATTATCTTAGAACTAATTTAACCGAATTATGCCATCAGAAAATCCCTTACATACATGTAAATATGCATATAGCCAGATGTAAACCTTATATAAACCTCTGATAATATGCTTGTAATTGAATAAAAAATGAATCTGATATTTTATTATAATATGGGAGTGTTTCTAAGAAAATCAGGTTCTGAGAAATTTTTGACTAAAATTTAGAGCTTAATACATTTTAATCTAATAATATCAAAAACTAAAATGCAATAAAAAT